AATATAATTTCTTGTATTTAAAATTTTTATTTATTTAAAATATAAAAATTAATTTTCTTATACCAAATAAATCGCCCGCACTTAATAATCCTTTCATGGAATATTCTCATTTTTATTTCTATTTGACGGATCGCGACTTTGGTTTCACAACAATGCACGATGTCATCTCAACATCGACGTAACGTCGTTACATCATCGATATTTCAAAATCATCTCAACATCAAAGTCTGACACTGTCTTTGCATTGATACTCGACGCTAGCAATTTCTACACCCACAACTTGATAACTCATCTTTGTTCGACGTCTTCTTAGCATCAATGAACAACACCCTCTTGACATTGACGCCCTATACTGCATAACATCGATGCCCGACTCTCGACAGCATTGTGATCTCCTCTCTTGATGCCCTGATACATGGCATCGACGCTCAACATTCTAATGCTAATTATTTTAAGCACAAATTCTAGTTAAACTATTTATTATTTTTAAATTATTTTTAATTTATTCAATTTTTATACACTATTTTTAAAATAAAAAATTTATAATATGGTATACAACCCGTGTTCGCGTCTTATATTTTCAATAATTGACATGTCCCGTGTCCATGTCATGTCGTATCTGTGTAAGCATGACCATATTTGTGCATTATAGTATGAGGCGATATTTTAAGTCTTGCCTCACCAGAAGCAAAAAAACTAACACCTACAAGGCAAAAAAGTTATGTTTTAAAACAACGAAATACCATAACAAACAAACTAAGTACTGCAATGCCGGATTAGTATTAGAAGATTTCTCAATTCACTACGCAGGCCACCATGCCAGCTCCTCACCCTAAAATTTCCTACAAATATTCCAACTTTCACTGCACCAGATCATTATACTGGCCAAGTATTGCTTCTGGTAGACATCCCTACTTCAGAGAGAGATGTGCTAACCTGTAATGAAAAAGGTAAAAAATAAAAACTCTTTGGGTCAAACTAAGCCAACTTGTCTTTCGATTAGTCAGCTTTGCAGCAAGTTGGCAGACGAGGTGGGGGAAAAAAATAACAAAAGAAGCACTAACCACAATTGCAATTTAACAGAAATTAATCTAAACTAAAAATCTCCAAACTGGCATAATTAGCAATAGATACGGAAACAATCAAATTGTTGCATTAAAACTAAAGTTTAAAAATCGACATAGAACCATAAATAAAATAACACAATTAAAAAGCACTCAAAGACATATGAACTCAGTTGACCATCTTAAATCCTTGAGTAGCCAAACAATAGCAGACCACAAATATTATCAGACTTTGAAAAGGGCTTTGTTAACCTGTGGCTAAAGGTATCGTTAAATATTATTAGACTTCCTGAATAACACCATTTCGAGCTACAAAGCAATCCAAAAATCAAAGTGGTATATGCCCCACCACCTGAGGCGAGGGTTCTGGGGAACTAATTTTCAAACACAACTTTCTTTCTTCTTAGAAAGAAATACATTGCCTTCTCCGTCTCTCTCTCTCTCTCTTCAAAAGCCTTTACCACAATTATATCTTCCACGGAGGAGATAATGCCGTGGTAGCTTTCTCAGTTCCTGCAGCTTGTAGTCCTTGGTGTGTTTGCTATAACTTTTGCTTTAGGCCCTTCAAATACTATTACTTTATGGGATTTTTTGCAACTATTCAATTATTTCTACAACTCCTAGGATTCATTTGGCCGTTTTATTGGCATCTCCAACAAGTATAACAGGTTTGGTTCTTCCCACGAGGCTATAGCTAGAGTTAATGGGTTGCAATTCCTATGATTTATTCCTCTAACAGTGGATTCTTAGGGAAGAGTTTTTATTCTAACTAGGTGTCCTATAAGCTTATAAATATTGTTATTTGAGGCACCTAAAAAACCGTTCTGACAATTAAAATTCAGCTTTGCATGTGTTAATACTTATCATTGTGGCGTTTAACTCGTTTATTAAGTGTCAGAATTGAAATTCCAGAGAGATTCTCTCTCTACAAGGATTAGGCTTTTCTTTTGTGGCTTCTTCCCCTTTTCTTCATTTGCTGCGTTTCTCTAAATATTTTTTCATTATTGGTTAAAAGTGTTTTCAGGTTTTGTCATATTTTGAGTGACATCAATCCCATGCATAGCTTTCAGGATCCTTAACTTCCATCATTAATATTTAATAGACCATATATAAATCTTTCATCAAAATTGAATTTTATTCTTTGCCAAATTTCAATCAAAGGTATCCAATTGATGATCGTCAAAATGCATGAGATATTATTTCTGAGTTTATATTTTAAATTTATGAGGAAGTAACAGTGTTTTATTTTTCTCTTAGTTTAGCAAAGATTATCTTGTAATAAGCCTCGAATAATTTAGAATTTTAGTTGTCAAATCATTTCTGCAAATAGAATCTTGTTAATTACAAAAATCAAATAATTATTTAAAAAAATTTCTCGTTGCCTTTGTTTTCACTTATTAATTTTTTGTCTTAAGAATTTGCAAATTAATATTATGAGAATGTCTGATATAACAACATCAGTGTTGTGGGTCCCATCAAAACTCCACAGTTAACCGTGTTTGAAGAGAGTAGAACTAGGATTTGTGACCTCAGGAAGTCCTTGTGTTAAAAACATGAGAATCTCACTATTTTGGCTTTTTTTCATTTGTTTCTCATAATTTCCCTATTGATTTCATTATTCCGCCTCAGTTTGATATCAAAGCCAAAATTTTAAACTATTTTATCTTGATTTCATCAATTGCATATAATTTTATCATTTATTAAGGAAATTTCTTGCATAATTCTCTCTTTCCATATTTTCACTCTCCATATTTGTGATATAATTCCCATTTATTTTACAAGTAAAAAAAATTAATTTCTTTCCAAATGAAAAAACTAACTCCTGCAGTCAGTATTGCATCCTCTCTCCTTAAGATAAACAAAAAAGGAGAAAAATATGGGGAAGCTAATTTTCCATGCAAAATCTTTCCACTTGCATCATATCCATCTTCTCTTTTCTCTCTTCCACCTCATTTCCTACATTCCCTAGAAAATCCCTCAACTCTTTAAATAAATTTATACAAATATGAAATTTCAATTTCAATTTAATTAAAATTTTAACCAATTTCTATAATTTCTCAACAAAAGCAGCAAACCCAATACAATATAAGTTCATATTTTCATCTCATCACAACTAATAAAGCACCCAAATCTCAAGCCCCCAAAACTATGAGACAACATTTGCGATTGCCATTTTTTTCTTTTTTTTATATACCTAACAGTTTTCTTTTTTTTATATACCTAACAGTTCACAAGAATATTAAGTTTTTTTTTTTTTTTTTTGGTAGTATAACATGCTAGAGAACAACCACGACCCTCCTCTTGCATACAACCAAAACTCTATGTTTAATTTAAAGTATTCCTTTTATAGCCAAGGAAAAAAGAAAAAAGAAAAAACAAGAAAGACACTATTCTTCCTTCAAGATGGTTGATATTCCCCTAGAGATATGTTGTACTGCCTTCTAAGAAACTAAGACCACCAAAACAAATTAGAAATTTGATCACAATCTATGAAAACATCATAGTGCGTTTTGCATTTTATCATCGATGCTTCTACTAGTAGCGTTTAAAAATAAAAGCAATGTTTTAGATATCTCATAGCACTGCTTTAAAGAAATTCCAAACTTCTTATAATGGAATCAACTGCCACCATTGACATACTGGAGAGATTTCGCCACTTTTACTCAAGTAAAAAAAAAAACACGGCAAATCTTATATATTTGAAGACAAGTTTTTTTTTTTTTTCACTTTTGGAAAGCTCTTCAAAACCTCTCTCAGTTCATAAAAAGAGTTTTTTTTTCTTCCAGAACAGTGATCATTGAAGAGCATAAAATGAAAATAAATCAAAAGTAGATGATACTCACCAGGCCATTCCTCGTTTATAATATGCATTAGCTATTAGAGCACAAAATCCTTTCCACTGATGCATTACTTCAGTGGATACAGGTGGCGTAGAAGACCACCTGACAATGGTTGGTTGTGGCGTGCACAAAATAGTGATGAATACAATGCTCAACCATAAAATACATTCTCGAACCTGCATATACAATAAAGACATTATAATTGAGTGAAAAGCTTCGACAATAAAATTCAATGTTGGAAATCTAACTTAAAATTTTTTATCCTATCCGATTTGGTGTCTTTTTAAGAAAGAAGTTGCGGCCAATGCATGAGGCTCCTATCATTGTGAGATGTGGGGAGGTGTTGTGTGCCAAAAACTAAAACCAAGGAAAATTCTTAAATCTATACCAGAAGCAAGTTACCTAATTATCATTCCAGCCGCACCCTCATTTTAATTTCTTTAAAAGTTGATATTTAACTTGGAAAAAATAAAAAAAGAAATAATAAATTAAGTAAGCATAGTATCCATTGTTCCCAGAATTAAAAAACATTATCCACTCCTTCTAGAGAGAAAAGGGTATTTTAGATGAAAACGTAAATGGCGGCATATAACAATCAATGAATGATATGATTATTAAAATTAAGATACACTCCATGTTCAACTTGCAAGCTGAAAGGCTGCTTAAAAGTTGTGGATGCTGAAGATGGAAAGACAACTTAGGTGATATGCCCTTGTTGGGTCTAGGGAATCTATTATTTATTATGTAAGTAGGAGGAATTAAGGGGAACTAATTAGTAAATGTTTATTTGGAAAAGAGGACTGATTTGACTGGGAGAGAATTATGAAAGATTTATTTATGAAAAGATGGTTGATTTGATTGTGAGGGAATTAGGAAATGTTTATTTAAGAAAAGATGAATGATTTGATTGGGAGGGAATTATGAAATGTTTATTTAGTAAAAGATAGCTGATTTGATTGGGAGGGAATTATGACAGGTTTATTTAGGGAAAGATGACGGATTTGATTTGGAGGAAATTAGAAAAATTTTATTTAAGAAAAAATGGCTGATTTGAAATCTACTTTAGAACAGAAATAGGAAGGTTTATATTAAGATTAATTAGGTGATTTTATTATCATCATGTGATTGTGTTTGGTGTAGTGTACTTTTTGGAATTGTTCCTAGCGGCGCCTAGGATTTGTGGGAGAGCCGATCTACCTCTTGAATAGTTAGGTCAATTATATCTATCATTACTTGTTGAAGAGATAATAAAAAATCAGCCTTATATTTTGTTCCCGTGTTTTTGCAATATGAAGAAATATTCCTTTGCACAGTCATAGGTGGAGTACCTAGGACATATGGTGAGCAGAGCCGGGGTAGCAGCAGACCAATCCAAGATTAACGCTATGTTGGATTGGCCTTTACCTAAGAACCTAAAGGAGTCGATAGGGTTCTTATGATGTGAAACAAAAGTAGGAATTGTGTAGAAATTTATAAAGAAAACTTGAATTAAGCAAAGTAACAATAAACTAATGTTTCACTAGATGGATTTAGAGAATTTAAGGATATCAATTTTGTTATGGCAATCAGCTACACAATAGAATCACTAAAGCTTAAAATAAAGTATAACATAAACATAAACTTAAATATTGTAAACTTTAAATCCACCACGTAACATTTAGATAAGTTATCTTGAGTTTCACTTACTCTCACTCTTTGAAAGGTCTAAGCGGAAAGAGGATTTCAGCAACCCGAATGATGCCACCAAAGGAGATAGGACGCCAAATGCTTTGATCCACGAAAAGGTCGTCGAAAGAGGAGGTGCAAGTGGATGTCGGATGATTTTCCAATGTCCGGATGGTAGTTGTTCGTCGATAGTCTCAGCTAAGTGGAATAGGATACGATCGACGTCATCGTCGACGGTGTCTTCTATCTCCTAATCGGGGTCGAAGAACAGTGATTGAAGAATATCTATCTACCCTTGAAAATCGTATGCGAAGCAGTGGTCCTTCGGAATCGGTCATTCACTAGCAAAGAGTGGGAAAGGGTGAAGGTCTTTTTCTTCTCTTAGAATATTATTCATGAAAGAAGAAAATCCAAGATGGAAGAAGGGAGGGAGAGGGGCTGCCAAAGAAGGGGAGGGGTTTGTTATTGGGAAACTAGGGTTAGGGTTTCCAGTAAGGTAAGGTAACAAAAATCTAAAATTAATTTCAGATTTAGTAAAATAGGAAAGGGGATTTGGAATTTGAAATTTTAATTTCAAATTCAGGTGGAGGAGAGGGCCACGGGGGGCTGGTGGCATGCACAGGGAAGGGAGGGGACTGAGGGGAAATTTAAGGCTTAATAAATCATGAGTCTAATTTAGGAAAAAGATAAATAAATCAATAATTTAGGAAAAAGATAAATAAATCAAATCTAATTTAAAATTAAATTAGATTTAATTCTGGAAACTTTCCTAATTTAGCTTCAGTTAATCTAGTAAAGTATTTGAAATTCAAATTTGAATTTCAAATAGGAATAAAATATTTCCCAAATCAATTTGGCTAATTTAGGCAAGCAATAATGACGATTGAAATCATCATCAAGAGGGCCAAGGTGGAGGGAGGGTGGAGGCTAGGGTTTGGGGTTGGGAAAAGGGGTCGGGTTTGGGGGCTAGGTCGGCAACTAAGGGAGGGAGAAGGGATGGGGGTTGACAGGTAGGAGGGGAGCTGGAGGGTGTCCGGCGGTTGGAGCAAGGGGAGGGGCAGGCCGACGGCTTTAAGCAAGGGGAAGAGGTGACTGCGGCTTGAAGCAAGGGAAGGAATTTGAACCACGAGTCGAGGACACTTCCGACGACTGGTGGGTGTTACTTTTGCCCACACCTTGGGACTTCACCACTCAAGAACTCACAAGTTCAGAAGAAATCAAAAAATTTATAATAATAATACAAGACTAGGCCTCAAAGAAAAAAGTAAAGAAGTGACTGAAATGCCCTCAGGGCTACAACTCAAAACAAAACATAAGCAAGGTTACAATCATCTAACATGAAATAAAATAAGCTAATACATGAAATAAATAAAAAATACAGGCTCCTAATCATAGCCTTCGATCTCCGATATTTTCGGTTATAAACGTTCTGAATCTCCTGCTGATGTCCTACTTATCATCTTAGGTCTCACCAGGTACTATCAAAAGTTTGTGTGAGGGTATAAAATGATAGTATGACCACTGGCAGAGCAGTTGAAGATGATTTCAATTAGGGAAAAGCAACAACACAAGCCTTCAAGCAGCTGAAGAAATCTATGACCAACGTGTCAGTATTAGCACTTCTTGACTTCGGTAGTTCAATTGTCTCTTTTATTATTTGTTGAAGAGATAATAAAAGATTAGCCTTAATATTTGGTTCTTGTGTTTTTCTTCTTATTTACTTTTTTATTTTGGATAAAACCCACAGAGGAGCCTACGCGTTAATAAAATTAAAACAGTTACAATTCCTTAAGGGATCAAGAGCTTTCTAAAAATATAGCATTTGAATTAAAACCTAATGAGCCTATGATCCAACTAATAAAACAATACAACAAACAAGATGCAAAGTCAGAAAACCAACAAATAGTCAAAAAACAACCCAACTTAGAAACACCAGCAAAGAGAAGAGAAAACCAAAGACTCCTAGAAGCAGAATAGCATCACAAATGGAGATAATAAACTCTACACGAACATTTGAACAAACAGCCACATCCCGGATAGAGGCACCAACAGCAAGCATCAACAGTCAGCCCGAGATATAACCAATATCAACCCACGCAAACCTCAGCTAACACCCTACTAGAGAAAAGCAAACACAGCAAAGCAAACGCAGAACACAAACCATTAGCAATAGAATTTAGGAGTTTTAATCTCTTCGGTCTACCTTCAAAAAGCTTAAAAACTTGCACCACATTTTTTTTCTATTTTTCTTACCAACAACTTTTACAAAATCATCATAACCAACTTGCACCACATTTATATCAAAATCTTCATGGGAACCAATACTAACATCCTCATTACCCTGCTCAGAATCTCTAATAACTGAAGGATTGTATGGTATTAACCAGTCAGAATAGTCAAGATGATCACCATCCACAACTAAATTATTAGCATTCTCAACATCCACATCAAAATCCCCCATAGTGATGTTAGCCTAACACTCCCAAGGCACCAAAATGATCACATTAGCGACTTGGGTAATAGAGCAATTAGGACCAGAAATTAAACCAGAACCAACTATAGCAATTTCAGCATGAATACCATTAAGACTAGGAGTCGATATGGGGCAAGCTATGTGATTAACCATAAATTAAAAATAGTATTGGCACCCATATCATCATTACAACCCTATATATTTTCACAATCAACATGACCATACATATTCTTTCCATCTGCAGCAGGTGTTACATTCACATTAGGATGAATCACTGATATCACATTGATCCCAAGTATAACATTAGTCGTAGGCAATAAAGGAGTTCCAATAGGATAATCATCCATTGGACAGCAGAAGGAACATCAACATTATCATTTGTATAAGCTAGATCATTCGAAGTAGGGAAAGAACAGATATTAGCATAAGTGAGGTTGGCCTTTTGCAAAATGGGATCCTTAGGTTTAACAGGGTAATTGATGGGGACATCAGAGCATGGAAGGTTTATTAGAGGCGTGGCTGCCGATCTACGGCCACGATCGAGTCATTGTATTTTTGATTTATTTATGTTGTCATGTTATTTTCTTATTTATGTATTTTCTTATTTTCAGTGTCGTGTATTTGTTTTATGAGATTTTTAGTTGTACCCTTTTAGTGAGGGATGTCGTATGTAAGCCCTGAGGGTATTTTCGTATTTTATTTCTTGAGTCTCATGTACTAGGCTATTTATAGCCCCTTGTTTTATTTTTCAAGTAATGAATGATTGAATGAAAAAATTTCTTCCTTGCATGAGTTCTTGTGAGAGCTTGAGAGTTTGAATGGAGAGAAATCCCCAGGAGAGAGAGATCGTATCACCCACCAACCTTAGAGACGGCCGGGTTCGTGGTTTTCTTCCTTATCTTTCTTCCCTTCTCTTTCCAACACCACTACCAGACATCACTACATCAACTTCATCTCCAATCCCAAACCATCGTGTCCTCCTAAACAAGCTCCACAAATTTTTCCCCCATAAGCCGCCGGCCACCTTACCCGAAATCCCTTCCAAACCGCCGGCCTCACCCACTCCTCTTCTCCCTTGAGTTTCCTAATTGGGTTGAGGATTAATTTGGGATAATTTTGAAATTGAAATCATTTGAATTTGAATTCAAAATCTTTCCTAATTTAACTACTCTATTTTAGGAAAGTATTTACTTTAGATCTATTTTGAATTTTAAATTCATTTGGATTTAAAATAATACTGTCCTAATTTCAAAACCTAAATTAAGAAGCCTTAATTAATCTCACTAATTGCTCACACCCTCATGCATGCTGCCGGCCCCCCTATCCCATTAATTCCTCTTTATTTCTTTCCTAAAATCAAGTCTTTGCTTATTGGAAATAATTTCAAATTCCTCTCATCCCTCGGCCGAACCTCATAACCTCACACCTCCTTATTTCTTTCCAAAATCTGAATTTGATATTTGGAAAGTTAAATCCCTAATCTCCCCCCTCGCTGCCGCCCTCCCCTCTCTCCCTTCCTTTTGGAAATATTTCAAATTCCAATTCCCCTCCTCTCCAAAATCTGAAATTATTTCAGATTTTATTCCTTCTCTCTCCAATCTCTTCCCTCTCTCATTAACTCTCCACCCGAATTTAGGATTTGATATTTCATCTTCTAATTTCCTCACCTCTACATATAAGAAGCTGAAACTTATTTCATATTTTGGTCTTTGGCTCTTCCCCCCTTCAAGTGGCAAGATAAACTTCTTTCTCTTCAACAATATTCAAGAGCACTTTGAAGTCGTGAGGAGATTTGTCATCTAGCATCTATGAATGGCGGATCCAGAAACTGAATACGGCCTAACCTACGACGAGGACGGTTTCGTAGACATTCTACAGTCAACTTTCTTTCACGTCAATACAAGGGTCGATCACATCGTTGAAGATTACATAGAGCGTATTCTAGACACTTTGGTGGAAGCAATCGAAGAACAGTTTGAAGGCGTTGAGTGGAGAATCTCCACCGATCCTTGACAAAAGGTTCTACTTTCTCCTTTCAACATATTTCTTGAGTCTAACTTTATCTTGTGTTTGATTATAGTCACGAAGGACGCTTCCTCCTGTCTCTGCTAGGATAGTTTTTGGTAATATCCAACTCCACCAAAACACGAGCAACCGAGGGCCTAGTCCTATGAGCAGTGGTGTTGACCACTTACAATGGTCTGCCAAATAGAGATCCTAACCCGTGGAGGATCCTAGGCAAAAATAAGTGAGGTTGCAGATCAAGGAAAAAGATCCAAACCGGCACAATGGGGGATTCCTCATGAATGCCAAACATAGGCGACCATTTCACAAGCTTCATAAAACAGTTATACACAAAATAAGATCGATGAGCAAAAAATCTACTATAATCCAAGTCGTTGGATAGTTTTATCAGCACATGGTGAGCATCCAATAAAATAACAAAGAAAGCACAAGAAAGTTTGAGGTTGAAAAAAAAATCAAATAAGATCCAATTAACGACGCCTATTAGAGAATTTACCAACTAGTGAAAAAGCAAAAGGAGCCTCCAATGCAATGATTTCTTCCTCAGAGATCCACAATGCCTTCAAACCATAGTGGGTAGTTGCCTTGAGATCGGGAAAGAAAGAAGAAGTGGTAGATCCAGACAAAGCATCTTTAAACAACTGAGATGTAGCATTACCAGAAAGAAAGCCAAGATCCAAGAGTTTATTTGCCATAAAAGCAAGAAAAATAACCAAATCAAAACTGAAGAGAAGAAAAACTTCCCTGGACGAAGGGTGGAGGCGGCTAGGGCGAAACCCTAACATAGCCCAAAGACATCAGGAGGGGAGAGACCATGACCGAGAAATTGAACATCTCCAACTTTAGGGAATATCTATGCCTTGCCCTCGCACGGCAAGAAGTGTCGCACGCAAGTCAGAGAGCCAAGTGGCTCTCACTTCATCACTTGGTTTCATGCAGAATAAGATAAGGAAGTCACGCGGGAGGGGGCCAACGCAGACAAAGCGGCCGTGGACGGAGAGCGCGAGGTAGGTCAAGCAAGGTTTTTGAACTCTTCCGTGATGGTTAGTGATGTAATCCACCAACTTAAAAGTTTCATTAGGTTAAAGAAAGGTTCTTCCCCTTGATGCCCAAGGATTTAAATAAGTGGGCCCAAAGGGCCCACCTTGACCCTTTCCCCTTTCTCCCCAAGTTCGGCCGCCCCCTCCCTTTGGCTCACCTGGGCCGGATGCCCCCCCCCGCCGCCTCCTGTAGACCCGCGTGGGTCTCGGATGGACCGGCTCAGCCGGTCCATCAGATAATCACGCGCCATGACATATGATAGTGGCCCTATAGGACTTACAGACACTTACAGAAAAATTAGTATGTTCCAGTCACTTACAGACCTTCAATTCCTACTACAAGGACACCAGGCCCTCAAGCACAGAGAACCCGAAAATACGAGTGGATATGTTGGCATAACTCGAGAAACAATGTAAGGGAACTGGTAAGAAAAAGTCTAATCCATTTGCCAGTATAATCACCTCGCATTCCAACAATTGAAAGAATGGCCGCATGCCGTCGGTCATTTTTTTCCCTTAAAATTTTATCACTTGAGATCCACTACAGTTCTCCACTATCAGATAACTGGAAACTAAAGATTGTTAACCCAAATTGTAATGCAGCATTTCGTGACTGTAATCATATAGGTAATGAGATACTAATTTCTCATAAATATGAAAGATATTTTTCAACTATGAAGTAGCAGATTAAACTTCTACAATTCAAATCTGCTGAAACATTTGATTTTTTTGTTGATTTTGTGAGGATAATGTAATAGGAATTAACACAACTAATTTGTCTTCCAATCTGGAGTACAGATGAAATTCTGTATAAAGTACAATAAATTTGATAAGATTTTTGAAAAAATAAGAAATGCTATCGCTAAAAAGTCATCCTATGGGAAAACATATGAGCATGAATACCATATAAACGTAAAAAATAATGCCTAAACTCAAAATACATACCTCCTCTGAAACAATTTTATATGTCACACTAGTGCCTCCTCCATAAGATTGCAACCCGTCAACCTCTATTCCAGAATTCTTCATGTCCAAAAGTTCTCTCCTCAAACTCTCATCAGTGCAACCAAGAGCATATGCATTCACCCCAGCATCAATAAACTCCTGATTGAAGTTGCACGATTTTCCAGTTGGACAAGAGCAATATTAGAAAATAATGTAGAATAAGAGTCACGAATGACATAAACATTGAGAAACTATGTACCTTCAAGTTGTCATTACCTCCTCGGTTGATAACATTCCTATACCGCCTCAAAAGACTTACTGCAATATTGCGAGATGAACGATATTCTTCTTCCGATGATGCATAAATTTGCCAATGATACTACAAGGAATTTTTTTTTTCTATTTGTTGTTAGCCTCCTGGAGGTAATGTCATCAAACCTTCGAAAACCATAAAACAAAGAGAAGGATTACTTGCTTTGAAGTCCTCCACATGAGTTGACCTGATGCTCGTACAGAATAGTAATAAAAGCCAGTACACAAAGGCAGTGTTGATAAACAATTGCTCTCAGAGGACGTGTGAAGAACTAAAGCATTCCTTTTGACATTAGCATGTAAGATGCCCTGACTAATCTGACTTAATTTTTTTGCATCTACAGTAGTCCCAACGTTTCTGATTGCTGATGAAACATGCATGGTCAGCATTGTTGAAACATAGCAAATAGGTTGAACTTGAACTAATTTATATGCTACTCAAACGACCAAAGACTGCCTTAACGGCCATGTAGTTCGATTTTCCCTGCAACCAAAAAATTTGATTTTGCATGATACCACAAATCCAAGTCCATCTGAAGAAAAAAGTCACATGATAGAGATTATATATGTTTAATGAAAGACCATAATGTAAGTTAAAAATCCAGAGAAGATATATCATTCCTTTAAACATAATGGTTGAGACAAGGTCATTCCTTGAAACACAATGTGTTTAATACAAGGTCTAGAATCAAGAAAAGATAGTTTGGTGTTTGTTTAAATCCTCAAATTAAAATTATTAAATAGCTCCCCATGTATGATTTTTCCTCTAATGTAAACTATTGGAGAGGCGTAATTTGATAAGCAAAGTGATGCAGTGCTCATTGAATAATATCCAATTTTAAGGAATCTTATGTAAATGTTCATTCCTTGTTAACCATATAAGGCCCTATAATGATTGGAAGTGATCGTTTTTTTGGCTTGAGTAGTTGCTAGGGAGGGAGAGCTAAGTATTGATTAAGTTTTTTTTGAATTTTCAAGAAGAGCAATTCTATTCTGCTTGTATTGTGTTTCTATTAGTGAATCTAATTCCTTTCATTGTAGTATATCGCTACTTTATTGAGTAGTGTGACACGGTTTGGTATTAGTTTCATTTTGATCCATCATCAAGCCGCCACATTGCCGATCAGAGGTACCGCTTTACGAGGTCTTGAGCCATGATGGCCTTGCCCAATTGCAACAATAAGTTCAAGCTTGGGCAACTGTTTAGCTTTAACACTAGTTGTTTAGGCTGAACATGCTGAATACCGTGGATGATCTAGCAGATAACTTGTTCACAGTTCACACCACCTATTCCCATGCCACACAATGATAACCGATGTTGAGAATTAATCTTCAAGGTAGACCTTCATGAATTCCTTTTGCGCGTGTGTGTGCGCGTGCGGCGGGGGGGGGGGACTAAATTTTAGAATTTAAGTGCCCAAGAGTTATCATGAGCCTTCAATCACTACTCACCTCCAAGGTAGTGCACAAGCATGGTTGCAGCTGTTAAAAATAGCTCAAATTCGTGTGGAAAAAATGAAAATTTTTTCTTGGCATAAATTTAAGAAACATATAAAGTTGGTTTTCTTGCCCATTAATTATGAACGTGGATTATATTTTCAAAACCGGAGTACCGAACTGTGGAAAAATATATTGCTTATTTTTATCAATTCCATGCCCAATCAAATACCCTGGAAATGCAACCAAAGTTGGTCGCTCGGTACACTGTTGGTCTTTGACTACAAATCCAAAACATCATCATAATATTTGATCCTTTAATTGTTATAGAAACACATCAATAAGCCCTATAAGTTGAACATTAACTCACTCATCATACTGCTATATTTCCTAAAGAGCTTGTTGGGGTGACCTCCAATCCTTGTCTTCCCCGCCACTTTCGCACCATCCTTTTACCATTATTAGCGGCTTGAGTCGTGCCTCCGCCAAATTCAAATGCTTAAATCACGGGCAGTCGGGATTCTAGTTTGTTGAATGCCCCATAACCAAATCATGAAGCTTACTTGTATCTAAAGATGACCTCGCCACATCCTACCTTGATGATTTGCTAATTGACTTTAAGGAAGAGGGGGTAGCAGCTAATGTCGGACCTTTACTTGTGCTCTGACAGACCTTCCTCAGCTCATGCACATTATTTGATCTTGGATGACAAGTATTTTACAATCATCAACTGCCAAACCATCTTTTGAAACAATATACTCCAAGAATTGAACATGCTCAACTAGGAAGAAATATTTGAAACTTTTATTAATTTCAATAAAGTTGAATCCTTCTATTGGACAATCAACATTAAATATGTTCTAATTTCTTTTTCAGTTTTTTCTATTGGGCTAAGATAGAAAGGTGAAATTATTTGTAACTGTTAAATCTCAACCCTACGATCCCAAAAATATCCACGACTGTGAACAGTAATCCGTGGGAAGACTACATGGATTGCATTAATTCCTCCCACTAATTTAGGAATAATTGTATTCATGTTATTATTTGTTTCCTTATTGATACACCTTGTATAGATCTATAAATAGGGAGTTGATGGCTTAATAAAATTCAAGCTTTTCCTCTCGAATTCTAGTTTTAACAGTAACATTATGCCAATTGATGTGTGTCACTATTTATTGAGTCGGCCTTGGTAACATAACCGTGGAACAATTCACAATGGTTGTGCCAATACTTATTTCTTTATGTTTCATGGCAAGACCATTACCCTGCTATCGAACCGAGCTCAGCTTTAAGGTCATCCAACTCCTACCAATGGCACTTTGTTATTCAGGGCGTGTTTTGAGCACGCAATGGTGATGGTTTGGAATTGTATCATGTGCCTTTAATCACTACTCACCTCCAAGGTAATGCACAGTCGTGGTTACAACAGTTGAAATTAACTCGAATTCATGTGAAAAAATGAAAATTATTTCCTAGCATAAATTTAAGAAACATATAAAGTTGATTTTTTGCCCATTAATTATGAATGTGGATTATATTAACATTTTCAAAACCTGAGCCAAGGTAACCTGAATACCAGACCACGGATGGTCTTTAGGCAATTGCCCCAACACAATTAAACACATTATGTAGAGATGTTATTGTTAGGGAACCAAAATTATCCTTACAACCAAAAATCCAAAGAGAAATAACCTTACAATGAGAAATAGTAAGGAAAAAAAAAATATCCTTACAATCAAAATTTGTTCCAGGGACGCTGCCCTAGGAAACCCTCGCAGGGGATCTGCCCCTTGACTCCGCAAACTGACCATGCAGGTCGAACCCACAAGGGGACCCTACCCCCTTGGACCCCCTACATATCAACGAAATGTACAACGATCAAGGATATGAAAAAATATGGGCCAAGAGACAGTGCCCCCAGAACAAACTTTGGTTGTAAAGATATTTAATAAAAAAAAAATCTCTACACTTATACTATAAGTTTGCCCCCTTGAAAATTAAGGCTGGTTCCGCCCCTGCTTCTAGGATATTGGTGTAGCAAACTCGATATGGAAGTTAGTTATGAAAAGTGTGGTTTGACAACTATAGTAACTTTATTCTCCCTAGTTGGGTCATCATGCATATAGATGAGCTGATAGCCTGATACAATAGTTGCACGAGTGAGGTCGTAATGACTATCAAAAGGTTGTGATTAGATCCTCATTGTCAGAATAATGAATATTTGAATATTGACATCAATTATTTCAAATGAGGTAGCAAGTACCCCTTGCTCGAGTGCAAAAAATCAAAAGTCCAAAATTCCTCAAGTAAGTTATGAGCCCAAGAGCTAAGTAAGCACTTGATGGGCGTGTCCCTCCTAATACAGCATAGTTAGCATCATAACATTCCCAACTCTCTCTACTCTCAATCCTTGGATCAGCTTACTCTTTTCTTTCTCCATCCTTGTAACTATAGTTTAAAACCTTCACAATAAAAATACTTTTTTCTATCATTCCTTACTCTCTTCCTGACCTTGATCTTATGTAAAACTTGAGTAATCACATGAATGTGATCCAACAAGCCTAATTAGGTTTTAATACATACAAACGTGAAAAATAATTTCATTTGATGCCTTGAACATGCAACTTTCAAAGCCATCCAAAATAAAACTTTGTCCAGGAAATCAAGAATAAAGAAAATTCCATCACTGAATTATTACCTAGAGTAAAGCATATGGTCAATTTCAATTCAACCCTAACAATAAAGCTAAATCAGCCTGAGTGCTAAAACACGAATCTGTAAGTTCTTTCAAAAGAAAACGAAGAATTATAAAGTTACAAAATTCAAAACCGTTTTGGCTCAATGTGAACCTAAACCTTTAGCATCCCAATCCCCCCATTAATAATAATAAGATATAAACCCTAAACCCTAAACCCTAAACCCTAAACTGGAGGGGCCAAAGCATGACAGACAAAAATCAGCCATCTTAATCCTACTCTGCTGAAAATTTCAACAGTTGAGTTTAAATCAAAATCCATGATAGAAATCCCCCCAAATATAGCTAAAACCTGCAGCATGGTCCAATTTGGACCTTGTACACCACGTTCAAAACAAAGAGTTTCTGAACCGAAGGAGGACTCCTGATTCCTGAATCATGAACGCCTGCTCACATAAATCACAGAGTTGGCGAAACAGAGCTTAGGTGAATATATAACGGCTAGAGCAGGACTTACCGGGCCAGGAAAGTTGGATGAAGAGGCAGTGAACGCAGATATAGGAAGAATAAGATCGCAAGGGGTAGAAGAGAAATGGAGGATATCTGGTTTGTTCTAGAGCCACGAACATTTGAACGGTGAAGCAGAGAGGAGGAGACCAAGTAGAGAAGGCGAAGGTCGCAGTCACATTCGAAGATCTTTCGGAAGCCGGAATCGAACATAGGGCAACAACAATTCGATACATGGTGGGTTTAGCCAGTAAAAATATATTTGTGTAAATATACAAATTGATGAGCTATTGCGTATTGGTTATAGATTTAAGTTAAAAAGCTAAAAATAATGAGCGAAACAAAGAAATTAAGGGGAAAAAAAAAAAGCAAAATATCATAGAGGGAGATTATAACATGAGCACATTAAATTTCTTAAAAAATTAGTCTATAAGAAATTATGTGAAGGACTCTTTAAATAGAAAAAATATGCATATAATTGAGCTATAGAGAAAGATATTGTATAGAAAATTATAATGACTTTTTTCATTAATTTTCATATGCCCAAATGAGACCACTTACCATTTGTTTAGATGAGATGATCAAAGTCAATATTAAATAATTAGTTATATAATTCAATTATATAAATAATATTTATAATGAATCTAACATAGTCAGTTGTCTCTCAAACAAGTTAGGCATACGGCCGATTGGTAGTCAAGGAAACTTCAATCTTCATGTATGTCTTGCATTTAGGGTGAGTACTTGGTGCAAATCGAACCATCCTTAATTAATGTGCGACTTCATGAATTTCTCGAGTGAGTTCATCAATGTAGTATTGGGTATCAATTAAACCTAATTCTTAAATGAATTATTTGAGGTTCAATTTTAGGTGACTTGAAGATTTGGACAAATTGAGAATTGACAAGTTCAAAGTTATATGTGATTCAAGCTAGTTCTCAATCAACAATTTCTTAAACCCAACTTAAATTCTTATTTGAAGGGTAGAAGGCAAGGTTCCTTTATATAAAAGTAGAGGACAACTTGAGAATTGACAATTTCACATAATGTTTTCCTTCAAGCACAAATAAATTAGCTTTTTGCAATTCATATTTTGACATGGATCAAAGTAAAGCTTTCAATTCCATTTGATCTCAAGTCTCCGAAAAGAAGTTGAGGAGGTGAATCTATCATTGTGTAGGCTCAAAGGGCAATAACCTTTACAGGTGATGCTAAATAAACAAAATCAATAGGAAGTCACTCATGGATTTCTATAAGAAAGGAAGTAGTGTTGGTGCTAGTTGAGAAATCCCTTGAGTAAAAGAAGTTAAACTTTTAAATATTGAGACGCCTTTTAGAATAATGGTTGAAATTTCATTAAATAAACTTCACAGTTAAGCGTGCTCATCCCGAAAAAACTCTGAGATGAATAACCTCTTGAGAAGTTACACCAACAGGATAAAACCATGAGGCTCTTAGGCCAAAATGGACAATATCTTAATAGTTAATAGTTTGAGCTATTACATTAGTTCCAAGCAATACTCAAATGAGGAGGTGAATCTCAAGCTATTAAGGATTAAAAAAACTTTGACAAGGTGGAGTACGAAGCTCTAACTAAGAAAGTTGTAGATTCTAAGTTGATTATATATGTATCAAAGTCGCATGAGAGAGAATCCATAACGATTAACCTTGAAGGTAGATTCTAAAAATTGTTTGTTGAGTTAGAGTATTCAAAGAAGATGATGGGTAACCTTGAAATCAATATCGAGGTAACACTACAGGAAACTTACCTTTTTTGCGACGAAATCGTAAAATAAGAAAAATCCATCATAAAATCCGATTTGCAGCGGATTTCTTTCCACTGCAAAAAGCAAAGTTGCAGAATTACTTGCGACAGAAAAAATTCGTCGCAAATATTTGCAGAGGATTTGCAACGGAAATTCAAAAATAAAAATAAAAATTCAAACCTAACCAGTTCTTTTTTTTAAACCCGGCCGGCTCTACATGACGTGCCCAGGATTCAAACCCGCTCCTCTTGCAAACCAACCCCTTCTCCACTTTGTTGCCGAGGCAAAACACAACAAAAAAGTATTTTTTTAAAATTTATATTATAATGTAGCTTGCAGAGGATTTGCGACTACAAATTCCACCGCAAATCCATCGTAAAAAATTCGTCAAAAATTTACATTGCAACTCCATCGCCATTTTCTACACACAAAAAAAAACCATAAATTCTGCAGCAAATCCGTGACTTTCTTGTGGTGTAAAGAAGGCAAAGTGGATACACAAATTGAAAATATGGCGATTGTTGAGGAGAGAATTGTCAAACTTGAAGTCTAACAAAATTAATTAGAAGGATTCCCAGCTGAAGTGTCATGTTATTAGTCACCCTGTCGAGATGCTCAAGAATTTCTCTCCTGACATTTGTTAGGAGGTTGATGAGCTTAAAATAGAAGTCATTTTTATGACGTGCTTTTGAGAAGCTTCTATGACGATTCAATTTATGACAAGAATTGATTTTGTCATTTGCTAACTGATCTAAAATGATTCTCCCATGCAAAGTTATACTTGGTACATTATTCCATTTTAGATTGGGAGGAGAGTCATTTTCTTAAAATGATGAAATCAAGTGTTTTGCTGGTTTGAGTTGTTCTTCTTGATCTTGTTGTTCTAATATCATTATTTTTATTTTGAAAATCTCAGCATACTTCCTTCACAAAGAATTTATTTAGAAAAAAAATATCTATATAAGCATTGTACCTTTGTTTTTTCTTTTCATTCTACTTGATGCACCATAATTTCTTTCATTACTAAAAAAGAAAGTTTATTTTATTCAATTTTCTAAAATAAACTAGATCTTATTTCTTGTTGTTTATTAATTTTTTTATCTATTTTATCAATATATATATATATCTCACTAATTACTTATCCATCATAATGAAATTGTCAACTTGAATTTGCACCATTATGAAATCTCAATTTTGTTACAAAGTTATATCTTTATTTTGAAGTTGTACTATTCATTATAAAGTCAAATTCTTGACTATTGAGAGAATGAATTTGATTAATTTAAGGAAAATCCTTAGTTTGCATCATTTAAATTTCTCAATCTGATATGAAATGATAATAAATTGTTTTCAAAGATTGGGTTATCAAATCAATGGGTACAATAAAAAATTAGTTAATTAATCATGTTGTTGTGATATGGTGATTAGGGTTTTCATATTTTTTTCTTCTTATATGGCCTCATAGCTTGATGGTATATGTTGTAAGAACTAATTTGAGCTTTCATTATGCTCTTTCTTTCTTTGAATTATAGATGGTAGCTTTCATGATCAACTAATTAAAGAATTTTATAAAATCGGAATGGGTCTTCATTGATCAAGGTGAAGAACATGCATCCTATTCTTGCAAAAATCGATGTAATACCCACTAGCAAAGTCGCTCAGTATGTCTATATAGAGAATCAACCCACAATCAATATAAAATGTATTTATAGATGTACATGATTTTTTTTGGTGAAACCAATTCTTGGGGTGCGCATGCTCAGTAACATGACACAACAATATCATTCCAAGTACTTTCATATTTGAACAATCAAATATATGATCTTAGATACACAAACATACAAAATTTTGAATGAAAACTTGCAAATTCATTTCCATCCAATATTGAAGAACATCAAAATAAATTCAAGTAGGCTAAGTGGTCTAGAAAACAGAATTATTATTGCGTCCTCCCACTTGACGCAGAGATGCGTCCTCCCAGAGCTAAAATCACGATAAAAAATGAGAAATGCCAAGCTATATATATATATATATATATAATTTTTTGACTTATTGTGCGATAAAAATATATCTATTAATATATTTCATTCCCAATTAAAAGGACAATATATAATGTATGATCGATTTTTGTCTTGCAATGTTTCTCCACCAATGCCAACCCTAGAAATAGTGATTTAGGAGGGTTAATTAATAACATTTTCATTTTAGTAAATATTCCAATCACTGTTGAACTATAAGTGATACTGACATTATAATAATGGCTTTTTTATTACAATAATGGCTCTTGTATTGATGAGAATAGTTAGTTAATAGTACAATAACCTGCATAAGCACGCTGTAGTTTGATGATCAAATCATAGAATTTGTACTATCAAGAAATTAACTGGTTAAGAAAATATTGTAAATGAAATATAATTTGAAGTCAAAAAGGAAGATAAACATACCCATCGGCCATCGTATATGACCAACTTTAAAATATAACTTGCAGTATTAAAAGCAGCACATACCCCTAAAAGTATCCATGTAATATTAAAAAGAGTGTCAGTTGAAATAATTTTCAGGCCGATAGGCCCAAAAGTGCAATCATTTACACCATCGTATATCCACCAAAATTCTCAAATAACTCTCTTTATCCTACTCCACTGTAGGTGAAGGCCTCAATCCTTGGCATCCGCAATGCCACCTGGTGTTATCTGGAACACGTGCATTTCTGTGGTTAAGGATCAGCCAAATTACTTGGAAGCGTATGATGAAAGAAAATTCACGAAGAAAATAAAATTATGGAGCGAAATTTATTTAATGGGAATATTTCTCAAAACTATATTCTCAAAGAAAAAAATTATCTCAGAATTTAAATGCATATCGATATAGATAAAGAAAAGCTTAAGGATATAGCTTCAGCCTCTGGGAGATTAGGGGCGTCGAATATCTTGCAAACGCGCTGCTCGCCTTTGCCTTTACGCAGCATAAGCCGGATGGTAGCTGCATGCGCCAGCACGTGACCACCTGCTGGCTTCTTAGGATCCGATATGAACACGCCCCCTCCAGGATCCGCAATCACTGTGAAGGACCAAATAAAGGCATGCAAAGATGTGCAGGCACTTGTAAAAAAGCGATTATCACGCAAGGTAATGGAAAAGGTAAATCTACATTTCTCCAGCCATTTGTATCATTAACTTGCTGGCTACGGTTCCTTTGGTTGCTCATATATATTGGAAAATATATTTTATGCTTGGTTTGAGACGGCTTTTTTATTGATTCTTACAACAGTTTTTCAATTTTTGTATTGAAAAATTACTTTAAGAAGTAGTAAGAAAACCGTCCCAAATGAGGCCTTAAATTTTTTAGAAGCTGAGCTATTAAATCACAATAAAAATATTATAGAATGGTGCACTAGAATGCTGAGTTACATTGGGAGCAAATCAGCATCCAACCAATGTGTCGTGACTCCAAGCGATTTTGATTTAATTTTTGATTTAAGATAAATTTAAATAAAATTGTTATATTTATAATTTATATGGTTACTCACATTAAAAAAATAATAAGATAAAATATTTATTGTCACTAATTTTAAAAGTGAAAATAAATATCATTTTTTAAGAGTCAGTTTATAATGATTATTTTCAATCAAATAATGTATTTTGAAAACTATTTTCGTAAATTTTCTAATGACATGTAAGGAAATGCATAAGCCTAAAAAATTTCTTCGTTTTTTTTTAAATTTATTTTTCTTCAAGCAAACAATGGGGCCATTGGATGAAAAGTTTAATTAATGCTCCTAAATTTCTACTAAAAAACCTTGGTTGGTCATGTAGACTGCCACATTGAATTCCTCGGCGATTTTCGTCAACCGGGAGAGCATTTGCGCCAGCTTTTGCTGCAGACAATTTTAGATTTCTTAGTGCCAACTCATGCTATCGAGAGATTATTGTGTGTAGACACCTGACGGCAGAAAACCGTCCAGTTTTCTCTTTGTTCACAATCAAAGCTCAGTTGCTACAATCAATTGCAGTTACTGTAGCAACTGAACTTTGATTATGCTTTTAATGCCCTTGGTATGAGCAAGATGCATTTGCTAATTTATGTTGATAATGCAAATCTTCATAATTATCACATAAATGTCTCAAATGAAAAAAATACAGGCCAAGAAATGGTCGGGATTGCTGGTTAAATCTTAATGATACCTGTCGCTCAGCAAGCTCCCCACGGCCCGAGAAATCTACGCGAAACAATGCAATCACCGAATCCACAATCTGTGGTCGCATAAAAAGGGATGAGTATGTGGCGCAGGATAACCAAAAAACACGGAGTACTGACCAGAAGCCTGAAGGGCTCTTCAGACATTTTAGCTGCAAGGCCCAGCAGCAGGTTATACTGGTGCTCGTATGTGTACGCTCGTGCATAGATGATCTGTAGTCGTCCATCAGATTTCGTATGATCACACTGAATCACTTATTGAAGCCTTAAATCGTATTATGATAACAAAGCGTAAAATGTATTGATGAAAGGAGGCTTACGTTGTCGAGAACTGCACTCGGATCCATCCCAAACCTCTCTGCAATAGGTACGATCCGGTCCGGTCGGCTGCAAGCGTGTTAAGGAGCTACAGCAATTTGCGATAAGAATATCTAGGAAGATTTGAATAATAATGGATACAATGTGCCCTCAGTGTCAATGTAAGCGACTTTTCCATTACCGCCATGCAAATTGATCGGAAGCTGCAGATTCAACGGAATCAAGACTGTTAGATGTAATATTATGGTACTAATGATTGTGTTCCTTGACTGAGGGAATTGGGAAGGACCTGGGTAGATACACAAAGAGTATGGGCCAGCTGAGTTTTTCCTGATCTGTGATTTTAGGCGATTCGCTGTTACATAAAAGCTAGGGAAGCTTTCTTAATTTTTAATCATGGATCGTTTCTAACCTGAATTCTCCAAATGCTTCCGTGATGGCAAGCGTCTCGATCCCTCCTTCAAAGCAACACGGACGGGGAAAAAAACATATAAGATAGATACCAATTTTTTATAAATTAATTATTCGTTCATGTCAAGACCAGCCTAATGGATCCAATTTTCATCACAAAAGAAAAGCAAAATGGATTACCCCCAAGAAGCTCGTCAAGGGCTTGGCTGCCGGTCGTGATTTTAATCACAGCCTTCCTCTGCATAGGAGATAATGTAGACATTCTTTAAGCAATCAGATACGTTGAAACAGGATGAAGGCATAAAAAATGGTGGATTCACGGTCAGATTCCTTACTCTGAGCATAAGATCACTTCCAGTCATGTAGCCAGTGTTCTGAAAATAATTTCGAAGAGAGATCGAAATACGGAAAATATGAACAAATATTTGTTACCGGAAGGCCTTTAAAAGCAGTTGAAAAGTGTGGAAGGATAGGGATCGGAGTTCTCACCACTACTTTTTCTGCAGCTTCACAGATTTTATCGACCTTTGCTTCGGACAAACCTTTAATCCCCGTCAGGTTCTGTAGAGAATCCGCCAAAGAAAATAAAAGAAGTTGGATCAAACGAAGGACCTGTTGGATATAAAAATGAAAAGGAAAGCGTCTAGACCTTCTTCGTGTGCATCATTAAGCCATTGCAAGTGTAGATCCCGGCGTCCTGAAGCTTTTTTATGTCTCCGGCATTGATTCCTAGCGATATCACTGGTCGATTGCATTTAGCGGTTGAAAAAATTCAGTGGACTGACGTTGTAGAAAGAGGACAACGAAGTTAACGGAAGCAATTCCCTAATCAAAGTAACTAAAACGAATTCGTAAAATCCGATCAGCAATTAGCAATCGAAGCGTAATGCAATCCTGTGGATCTCCTACCGGTTTAGCAAAAACGAAGGAAAAAAAAATGCAGAATCGAGTCTCTGAAGTATCTGATCAATCTCTCGTTGTTAAGAGAGTTGACGAGGAATATTTGGATGGAAATCTGTGTTAACGCTATAAAACTGGCGACAATGTGGTTTCAGATCGATAATTCCCTCGAACTTAATGACGTTGTTGGACCAATTCACCAGAAAAAATCGGGAAAAACTAGGAAAAATACCAAATGTGTATGAAAATAAGCAAGTCTCGAAGGAATTTCACATTTATCAATGGCTTCGAAGCAGTCTTCTTCCTCCTCTGTTTCATCTCTTTCGAGGAGCTGGAGCTGGCCGTGATCTTCGAACCTGGCCGCCATTAGACGGAGAGACGAATTTGTAATCGTTCCAGAGAAATCAGAAGGAAGCAGAGGAGGAGATGAGAAAGCAGTGAGGAATGAGTGCTCGGCTCACTTCACATCGATCATTTTTCCCTTTTGCAGCAGCAAGGACTCGTTGAAGATGATCGCGCGCCAACTCGAGACGAGTGAGGAAAGGGTTTCGAAATTCTGATCTGGCCACACGCGGGAAATTTATATAGAATCGGATTCGGCGGACGCAGGTCATGTGGTTGGTTGGGAGCACGGTAGAGAGTAAACGGGTCTGAGTAGAGCTCGAGTCATTCTTTATTTGAGCTTGGACTTGATTAATTAATTGAGTTCAGCTTTACCTCAAGCTTTATTTTATGAATTCGACGTTTAGCATGAAAGAGAAAATGATTATGATTGAAGTAAATATTACAAATAAAATGGTAAGAAGAATGAAATAGTAGAAGAAAAATAATAAATAAAAACTTAATGTAATAAAATAAGCTTTAATTTTTAAATAATTTTTAACAAAATTGCATTTAAAATTATAAAATGTTAATATTTTCTAAATGCATTTTATATTATTATTTTTAAATGAGTCAGCTCATAAGTTAATAAGTCAAGTTAGTGCTAAATCAAGCTTGGCTCGTTAGCTCATCGAGCTTGGCTCATAAGTCATTTATCGAGTAGAGTTCGAGCCAACTCGGCTTGACTCATTTACACCCTTAGTTGGGAGATTTGTCTACCAATTAATAGGTTATAGATTCAAAGGTTGTATATTTGATGTGCATGTTAATTTGTCTTTGTCTTTGATATATCATCAAAAAAATATCTTGACCAGGCACGAATGTCGGGGCAAAATAAAGTTGGAAACTTGAAAAATTAAATATGGGACCATCTGAACTCCGATTTTAGCAAACTTATAGTTGAACTGAATGTCTCAGAAATATGAACCCAACGACACCAAATTCGACTCAATCGGAGCCCAAATGAGTCCAAATCAAAGACTTGAAGCACATTTGGGAGGTTCAAACCATAATTTGAATTACCAAACAATTTCTAAACAAAATCTGATATCATTAAGACATTCAAATACTCAATAAATTGTCCAAGATCAAGGGATTCAACATCAGTCGTACATCCAAACCACTCCCAATTTATTCTTGATCTTCCTTCTATTTATGGGCTATACCAGGGGGGTTAGACCAAGCAAGAAAGCAAGATGAGAGATCGGATATTGCTCTTGCCACCTAGCTCCTCCTAGACCATAGCCCGAGCTTCCTCCAAACAACCATCTAACACCGAAGTTCTACCGAACCACCAACTGATGCACACATTTTTGTTGGACCACCACTGACGCCCAGACTTCTCATGTACCATAGACCGACACCCAGACATTTATCGAACCACCAAATTTCGTCAGAATTACACACAACCACCAACTAATGCCGAACTTCCACGTAGCTTCTAATTATTGATAGACTTCCACTAGACAATAATCTTTTTTGACCTCCTTCGCCCGCCGAATATGATCCTTCGAATCACTGTCACCTGACTACAATCTTTCTGACTTTCATCGTCTGCCGACTATATTCCTTATGACCTCCATTGCTAGACAAAAATCTTTACGACATCTGTCGCCCGCGGACTACGGTCCTTCCAATTGCCCTCTATCTGACTACAATCATTTCGACCTTCATTACCCGCCGATTACGATCCTTCTGATCTCCGTCGTCAGACAACAGTCTTTACGATCTCCGTCATCCGCCGACTACAGTTCTTCCGACCTCCGTCACCTAACAACGATCTTTCTGACCTCCGTCGCCCGCCGACTACGAACCTTTCGACCATCGTTACCCGGATAGGATCTTTCTGACCTCCGTCGCCAGCCAACTATGGTCCTGCCGACCAAATGAACATATCAATTATGATTCTTCCAATTTCCACCATGTAATGCACTATATATGATGCTTATTTGTTATATCAAGCCAAGGCTTTGCCCCAATGAAGGGCCTCATTTATAATCAATTGCAAATGCTAGTTGATTCATTCAATTGGGTCATACCCCGTGGTTTTCCCATTTTAAGGTTTTCCACGTAAATATATCTGGTGTCTCTTATAAATGATGCACCATCTCTCTTATCTGATTGTGTGTTGAATCTTCGTGCAAAACTAAGACGATAAATTTTTATTTCTCTACTGCCGCGAATATTTCATGACGCAAGAGTCTTAATTGAATCAAAAGTATAAAAAAATAAATTTGACAAGTAGTGTTAAGAGGAGTTAATAAATGATCGAATTTTTAAATGGAGCACGTTTAAAACCAAATTAAGTAAAAAAAGCTTAATTATTAAAAATTTAAAAAAGATAAAATTTGCCAAATTATTTGGCACAGTCTAAATGCTTCAAATGATTTGGCGAGTTCAAAGTATATCAAATCATTTGGCGTATTGTCGTAGAGAGAGAAAAAGTGAGAGGGAGATGAGAGCATGGTGCCACAAGAGAGGGTTGAGAGAGAGAGAGAGGAGTGATCAAGGCAAAGAGAGAGGTAATTAATATAAATTAAAAGTTATAAATTTAATTTAATTACATTATAACTTTAATAACTTATAAAGTATATATAACATATTTAAACTAAATTAATTTATAAATTAAATTAGAAATTCAAATAAACGTAATTAAATTCAGTTAAATTAAAACATAACATAATTAAATTAAATTAAGTTATAAATTTAAATAAAGTTATTAAATGTAATTTAAAATATAAATTAAATTAATTAAATTAAATTAAATTAAATTTAAACCATAACATAATTAAATTTAGTTAAGTTATAAAAAATAAAGTTATTAAATTTAATTAAGTTATAAAATATTATGTAATTAAATTAATAGAAAATTATTAAAATTATAACATAATAAAATTAAATGACAATATATCTATGTGTGTTGAGATCTATTATCTTGACTTCCCTTTTTTTTCTTCTCTCTTTTTTTTTTTCTTCCCGAATATATAGGATTTGAAAAGTTGTAGTGGATATGTATGAATAGTGTAGTTATTACACCAGTCTTTGATACAATTCGATCGTGTGTGTTTAGTGAAGTGGAGATTAATGTGAGAGGGGTGCGAGTAGGATGAACTCGCTGATCTAGTCGGTGTTGGTAGAAAGCCAGTTTGAGATTGCCTTGTCGAGGTGAGAGGGGGCTAGTAATGTTTGAATGTAGTCAGGAGATTCAGTCAGCATAGAGCAAGGAGCTGGTTTGAGGTTACCCCTTTGAAATGAGGAGAGCGAGTTACATCTTGATGTGGTATTGATGCCGATCTGATTGTGAGATGCCTTGCAGGAGTAATATGTATCGTTTAGCTTAATTATGGATGTATCTCCATTGGAGATTTAACTTTGGCCGTAATGAATAAAGACTTGTATGGTTGAGAGATGAACTTTTAAGAACACCCTCATCAGAGAGGACAACTGCTTGAAAGTTGTGGCTGAAGCTGGTCAGTCGTGCTCTAGTGCTAAGCTTCTTCTCAGCTCCTAAGCTATTCCCTAGAATATATAGTTCCGAAAGAGAAGTGATTTCTCCTTCCGCTCAATCCGAATGTAAAAGGCTGCAAGATACATGCTAATGAGTACCTACATAAAAAATCATGAGTGTATAATCTAATTATAAAATTAACTTCTATTATAAAAATTTTTAAATAATAAAAAATAATAATCAAATTAAATTATAATTACAGCATAAAAAACAAATCATGAAAGCTCTCCCAACCAAAAAGTGTTAGGTTTAAAAGTTCAATAAATAAATAAATGAATAAACAAATCAACTAAAGAGCTGTTCAAACACATCCTTCAAAAAACAACGAAAAAGTGGCTGCCGAAGATTCCTGCAATTCGCCGGCGAGTATAATTCCTATTTTTCTTTCATCTTTTCTGAAGTTTGCTCTTCCAGATTACCTACTACCGGTTCAAACACTGGACGATAAATATGGCCGAATTTTTAAAAGGAGAATGTCTAAAATCTAATTATATAAAATAAATATGATAATTAAAAAATTTAAAAAAGAATAAATTTGTCAAATTATTTGGCACAGTCTAAATAAGTCAAATAATTTAACGAGTTTAGAATATGTCAAATCATTTGGCGTATTCGAAAGGACGGCACTAGAGAGAGATGACAGGAAGAGATAGCTGATTGGGCAAGAGAGGGGAGGAGCAAGAGCGCGTGGTGGGAGAAAGCATGATTATAATTAAATTATTTTTCATCTTTTTTAATATTTTAATTTAACTATAATTGTTTAAATATTTAAGTATAATATAATACTAGTAATATTTTTAAAAATTTTATCAAAAATTAATTGTAAAAATTTTCTTATAAGAAATGTTTCATTATTGCAAATCAAATACATACAAGAACTCCCATTGGCCATTTTGGTTGAGAGCTTAGGCTTCCAACTAAGAGTGTCCAAGATTGAGTCCATGTAATGCGTTGTTGTGTGTGAGTTTGCCTTAATGGCCTAAATGTCCAAAAATAAAAATTATAATATATAATATTAATTATAATTTAATAAATTGTTACTTTTTTATTAAATACTTTATAAAAATAATTATTCTGAATAAAAAATAATTTTGAATTTAATTTTTTTAAATTTAAAAAATTTAGACTATTAACTTTTCTCTCTCTTGACAAACAAGACAAAATGATTTGGCACTTTTACTTAATTAGGTTTTTAAACATTATCCTTTTTTAAAAATTCGGCCCGTTTTTTTCCCAAAAAAAAAATCTTCGGCCGGGATAAACATCCTAACCGGTTAAAAACCCGCCCTGGTGCCATGGATGTTCGAGATCGACCTTTGATTTTAGAAGAAACTGGACCCATGCTAAGTGTTTAATGTTTATATACCCTTCAACAGGCTCAACGCTACAAACATTCAACTTTCGTCTATTCCTCATTACGCAGAAATTTCATGCAAAAGGGGTCTTATTGTTCAGACTGGAGGCTTAATCCCTCTACTCCAACGCGCCGTCAGTATCTGTGCTCTATGTGATGCGGTGTTCGAGAAAGAACTGTCGGACGATGGCAAGCGATTACAGACCCCGAATAGCCCCTGAAAATTGCCAATTACAGAATCCCCGAAACAAAATCAACCGCCGGCGGATGGCGGAGAGGACAGTATACAAAGACGACTGGTTTGGCGCCTAGCCATCCACCATCTCTCAAGCAGCATTGCAGCCATCACAGGTGGGAATATATTGAGATTTTTTTTAAAAATATTTATCATTTCGTTGTGTTAATTCATTTTATCGATCTATCTATCATGTTTGGCTGAGAATATTCTATAGACAGATTTCAGTTTTTACGGTGGCGGTGAGAAAACTGAAAATGTTGTGCGCAGTTACATACGCGCTGTTAATTCAAAGCGAAACTTTTTCCTTTTTCTTTTTGGGGTGTGATGAAAACAATGATCAGAGTTAAATTTCAGAGGTAAGGATAAAGGAAGAAAGGTTATGATGGGTGTCGAGGCCGGCGAGCGTCGTTCGCGAGGAGGAAAGACTGGCGAAGAGCAGCAAGAACATAGTAGCAGAGTCCCTCAAGAAGGCTTTTCCGGCAGAAAACATGATGGAATATGCAAGTTCTGATTGCTCTGCTTTTGTGGGGATAATCTCTTTCGTTTTTTCTCTATATATTTTGAAAAAAAAGAGGGGTCAGATCATTAAATTTGATTCAAAAGGGCTTAAGAATTCTTATGTCATTTTTTATTATAAGTAAAAATTATGAGATTTTAATTTGCAAGTAAATATACTAAAAAGAATAAATTTATTATAAATATATAACAAAATAATTAAATATTTAGATAATTATCTCAATAAATAAATTATATATCATAGAAAAATTAACACAGATTTTTGGGGAATCACATATATACCACTATAAATTTGTATATTTACAAAATTAGCATTAGCTTTGATCTATTAAATCTGAATATTTACGCATGCCATCTCTATGAATTTAATAAAAGTGAAAAATACAAGTAGTGATATTTAGTAGACAATTAAAAAAATAGTGGTAGAAAATGTTAGTTTTGCAAATAACTAAAATTTAAGTGCACGTATATAATTGCCCATTGTTGAGTCCTGGAGTATTCCCAGCGATAGAGATATATAAAGTTTAGCTTCTTAGCTTTGTACGAAGATCCAACACAAAGAAATAAGAGATATGGTTGCAGTATTCATAAGATACAGAAATATTTTTAAACATAAAATTTTGAGAAGGGAAAAAAATCACAGGGTATGACCCAGTTTGAATGAATATGCTAGTATTGATGGTTGATCACAAATAATACATATCCTCGGAGAAGAGTGATGGCTCAATATAACAAACATATATTGTATAAAGCGCATCACATGACAACAATTCTGAAGAGAATATTGGCATATTTATTTTGTCAGTATGACCGTAGTCAGCGGACGACGGTGTTCAGAATGATCGAAGTCGGTAGGAGACGGTGGTCGGAAGAATTGTAGTCGACAGACAAATGTGGTCAGAAAGATTGTATAGTCGGAGAGCGAGAGTGGTCAGAATGATCGTAGTCGGCGGGCGACAATATTTGGAAGGAGATCCGACCCGTAGCATCTGGAAGAGTTCTGACTATAGTCAGATAATGGGATAAAGTTCGACAACAATCGATTGTCTAGAATAATGGAGAGTGCAAAAGAGCTCCCAAATTTTCTCTCCTCCTACTTCCCCCTTCATGTGAGGAATGAGGGAATATTAATAGTTTTTTTGGAGTGACATGACTGGTAAATATGAAAAATATTAAGGGCATATTGGGAGTGCTCCATCAGACGACTCATAGTGATCCCATAAATCATGGAGTGTTTATCAATCATTAAGTACCTTAATGTGTTAGAATTTGGTTATATTGGGCTTGTTGGCTTCGTCTCATCGAGCCACTCGATTTGATTGTAAACATGTCATATTTGAATTAGGGGTGTCAATATTTGACATGACATGAAAACCTGACTCAAATTTGACACGACCTGATTTCAAAACGGGTCAGGTTCGGGTTCCCGGATTCGATCCTTTTGAAAAATGGGTCGGGTTCTGATTGACCTGATGGGTTGCCGGATCAACCCGAAACCCCATTTAAATTAAGCTACATGCAGCTGACCGAGCTACCACCACCTGCCCCGGCTGCCCGTACACATTCCCGCATCTTGCCCACGCAACTGCTCGCACGCCCGCCGAAGCTATCCGCGCCTGTCAGCTGCCACCTGCGCTCCTGAGGCTTCCCTCGCTGCTTCCCGCTCGTTCCCGCTGATGCTCGCGCGGCCACGCCTACCCGCTCACATGCATCCATGCCCGTGTCCGCTAGCGGCCCGCTGTCTGCCGACCCGCTGCTGCTAGATGCAGAACCATGTATGTTCGAGTAAACCCGACACAACCCGATGAGTTGGGTTTGGGTGCGAGTTTTCCGACCCGTTTACGTACTCGGGTTGGGTTAGGGCCGACCCGTTTAAACACGGATTAGTTTTGGGTTCGACTCGAACCCGACCCGAAATCTGGTTTTGACACCCCTAATTATAATATCACTTGGTTATTCAATTAATGCGTTGAAGCATCCAATAGTGCTTTAGTCTTTTGATTTGAGCTAATTTGGGCTTGGATTAGACTCAATTTGATGTTATTGTGTTCATCTTCTTAAGATGCTCAATTTGACTATAAAATTACTAAATTCGGAGTTTGGATGATCCCAAATTCAATTTTGAAGTTTCTATGATTCATATTTGCATTGAGATTCATACCTGATCAAGGTGATTTTTTGTTACCGTATCACCCATAATTTTAGGCTATTTTGATAGAAATTATATACATAAAAAGGACAGCAACTTCTTATAATAAAGCAAACTGAAACAATATTTTATTGCAGAAATAAAATTCTAAAGATTAAAATTTTCAAAAAAAAAAAAAAAGTGCAAGTGGCAAAAAGATGAGCGTTAGGGCATGCAAGTAATTAAAAAAATTAAAGATGTGAACTGTAACAAATAAACTGCAGCATAGTTTTCATTTTATGTCATTTTATATGTCATGACATTTGCCTTTTCCGTAAAATAATAAAACATATTTTGCCACCGGCCTTAAAATAATGGAGTTCTTATAAGATAAATATAAAATAATTTTGAAGAGAAATATGCAAGTTGTGTTCGATTGTCCTTCAAAATTCTTCCATATGCCTCAAAAACCTAATTTCTAAATAAAGTTCTCAAATTCTTAATCATGTGGCGGAATTTGAAGAAGTTTTGATGTAGTTTCTTAATTTTTAATTGATTATTCATATATTGAAATCTTCTAAACATAGAAACTATTTTTTTTTTTAGACTTAGGGTTCGTTTGGGACGGCTTTTTTATTGCGTCTGGAAAAAAGAGTTTTAATATAAAAACTAAATTTTTTGTACCAAAACTTTGTTTTAAAAAGCAATAAAAAAACCATCCCAAAAGACAGCTTTCTTACTGCTTCTTAAATCAGTTTTTTAGAGCAATAATTTAACTTTTGTACTAATTTTTTTTAAGAAGCAGTAAAAAAACAATCCCAAATGAAACCTTAGTAAGGCTCAAATTTTTTTTAATTTAAATTTGGTCTTTTAAAAGTATTTTTGTTATATACTATTAAATTTTTTTAAATTTATTAAATTATCTTTCATTGAAAAATAAATCCATAAATTCTTATCAATCAATGAGAACAAAAAAATATGAATTTAAAATTTTATTGCAAATTTCAATATTGGAAAAAGGTTGCACGATTTTAATTTTATAAAAAAATAAAAATGTTTCAAATTACCATTAATATTTGGCTATACTTATGCAAATAAGCCTATTCATATATAAATTTTGCTGCTTTTTGCGGTTCTAATTGTTGTTAATGGTAAATGTTGCCTATTGGAAAATTAGTGGCAGTAGAGAGATAGAGAATTTAATGTCATAGTTTTATACGAAGATCTAGCATATAGAAAGATAAGAGAGAGGGGGTGATCATTAATAAGAGACATCAGAATTTTTACATGAAAATATATGAAAAGTAGAAAAAATCACGGTGCATAGTCTAATTTGAATGAATCCACTAGTGTTTGTTATTGATTACAAATGATGCCCTTCTTGAAGGGAAGGCGTTGCTCAATGTAACTAATATACATTATATAAATCACTTTACATGGTTGTGGCTGGAAAAACCCAATATTATTAGTTCTTCTCAAGAGAGTGTTGTCCTGTTCGTTTGGTTGATAAGGTCTTAATCGGGTGATGATGGTTAGAAGGATCATAGTCGACAGACGACAGAAGTTGGAAGGATCGTAGTCGGGGCGACGGTGGTTGGAGGGACCGAAGTTAGTAGGCGATATTGGTTTGAAGGATCGTAGTTGAGTGGCTGTGCTCGGAAGGGTCGTAGTTTGACGACGGTGGTCAGAGGGACCGTAGTCGGCCAGCGACGAAGTTTGGAAGGATCGTAGTAGGGCGACTGTGGTTCGAAAGGGTTGTAGTTGAAGGCCCGAAAAGGGAAGTCAGATGGAGATCCAACGATAGTGGTCAGATAAAGGTTTAATAGTAGCGACCTGGAGGTGCAAATTTGTTGGCGGTGGTGTCGGGGCGAAGTTTGAGGATTATTTAAGCCTCAGAGCTCTTCCCTTATTCTTCCTCATCCTCTCATATGAAGAATGAATGTTTATTTATAATTTTTTAGGAGTGATATAATTAGTAAACATAGAAAACATCCAAGGTAAAATTGGAGTGTTCATCGGATAATTGATATTAATTACCTTGATCATGGACCATTCTTTAAACATTTATATGTCTTATGATGTCAGAATTCACTAATATTGGGCTTGTTGGATTCTTCTCGCCGACTCGATTCAACTATAAGCATGTCATATTTGGATATCATTTGGTCATCCAATTAATGCTTTGAAGCTTTCAAATAGACGTTAGTATTTTGATTTGCGTTCCTTTGGATTAGAATGAATTTTGTATCATTGAGTCCGTCTTCATGAAACGTTCAATTTGACTATAAGCTTGCTGAAATTGGAATTTCGTTAGTCCCAAATTTAATTTTGAAAGTCTCTTATTCATATTTTTATTAAGATAATTTTTAGTGACGTATGAGTACCAATTTTAAAACCGTTGTTAGCCAATATTATCTTTATCCCTTCTTTCTAGTATTGCAAGGCTGAATATTATTCGGTATTCAACTATAATTATATATTTATATAGGAATGAAATGGGCATTTATTCTATGTATGTCATAAAATTAGATACTATAACGTGTGCGCATAACAACCCCGTAATTTGGGTGAAAAAAATTAACCATTACAAAAATCATCCAATTTTTTATTTATAAATTCTAAAGTTGTTTTGATTGCTAAGGCCTCTCACTACATTGGCTGAAGAAATTTGAGCCTGAATATCATGATGAAATTCAAGATAAGCCCACTACTTCGAAATTTACATTAAGATTATATAGATACTCATCATAATTAGATAAAATCATAAACAAAATCTCTTAGTTGATAGTCAAAATTCCTCCCTAACATATTAAGACGAGCTGCTTAAAACTAATAAAGTTATTGCTTAGCCGATTCATAGTACCGGCCATTAGTTCTAGGTAGGTTATATACCTCAAATGTTTGTTCTTGTTGCGTCCTAGAATATTCGCGGCGGTAGAGAAATATATATAGTTTAACGTCTTAGCTTCGTACGAAGATCCAATACCCATACATATAAAAAATGAGGGTGTAACATTCATAAGATACACCAAGATTTTTATGTGAAAACCCCTGAAAAGAAGAAAAACCACGGCCCTAACCCAATTTGAATGAATCCACTATTATTTGCAGTCGAGTACAAATGAGGCCCTTCATTAGGGGAAGGCCTTAACTTGATGTAGTAAATATACATCATATAGAATGCGTTACATAATAGGACTTAAAAATAATCATAATTTATACATATGTTTGGTCGGTAGAATCATAGTCGGCGGGTGGCGGAGGTCGGAAAGACCGTAGTCTGGTGAAGGTGGTCGAAGGGACATAGTCGGCAGGCGATAGTGGTTAGGAAAGACCCTTATATGGTGACGAAGGTCAGAAGGACCGTAGTCGACATGTGAAATTAGTAAGAAAGACTGTTGTCTGGTGAAGGAGATTGAAAGGACCGTAGTCAGCTGATGACGAAGGTCGGAAGTTCGACATCAGGTAGAAGTCCTACAAAAGTTCAGTGATGAGCTGAATTAGGGCTGTAAACAAACTGAGCAGAGCCGAGTATGTGAGTGTTCATGTTTGAGTTCGTTTATTATTACATTGTTCAAGTTCGATTCATGTTTGATTCGAACTTTATTGTTTGTGTTCATGTTTGGTTCGTTTAATTTATCAGTGTTCATATTTATTTCATGCTTGGTTCATGTTCAGTTCGTTTAGTGTTTATCGAGCTTTAAACAAACAAATCTTAACGAGCTATGTTCGTGAACATATTTAACTAACAATCTATTGAACAAACAAACCTTAAATTTGTTCATGAACATCTTAAACAAACAATCTAGCAAATATGAATAAATGTAAAATGCCACTTGTTCATGAACAAATCCCACTACAGGAAAATCACCCAAAACCGGCGGTTTGGGTGAAAAAACTGGGGTGAAAAAACCGGCGGTTTTGGAAGCTACCGGTGGCTTTGCTGCGGGTGCTGAACCGCTGGAAAAAATGGCGTAGGAAACTATTTTCCGGCGGTTTTTACCGACGGCTTAATTAGCCGACGGCGTTCCGGCAGCTTATACCGCCGGTTATTCTGTTGCTTTGTACCAACAGTGTTCTGGCCGATCTACCGCCGGTCAAGATACAAACGGCGTACCGGCAGTACTTCAACGACGGCTTACCGGCGGTTTCGGTGACCGGCGTGAGGTTAATTAATCGCCGGGAAGCATCGGTAAACCGTCGGTAAAACACCGGCGGTCCAGACCGACGGTAGTCATTTGCGGTCTAGACCACCGGGCTTTCAACGGACGCCCGCCGGCGGCCGTCGGGTAACCGTCAGCATATTACCGGCGGTTTAACAAAGTTACCGGTGGCTGTTGAAAAGCCGTCCGGTATCATCGTTTCCGGCAGCCAAACCACCGGTTAGCCGCCGGAAACCTGTAGCACCTGCAAAAAAAATTGGCAGCCTCCCCTCTATATGAGGTAGGTTTACCCTAGATTCTAAAACCTGCACATAAAACAAGCCGCCGTTAAACCGCCGGGCATATTGATGTCTGGCGGTTTTGTCGGCGGTTACGTGACCGTCGCTATTACCAGCGGCTTAACGTAACAAAACCACTGGTTAGTCTGCCGGTAAAAGCCGGTGGTGATACCGCCGTTAAAAGCCGGCGGTGATAAATGATGATTTTTCACGTTTTGAGTATTTCTGGAAGATTTTCACCAGGTAGTTTGAATTATACGGAGTTTTTTTCGAATAGAAAATTATTTGGATGTTGGAAAATATTGCTTCAGTACAATGAAAGTCTTAAAATGATGGTTTACACTTTTTGTGGTAATTTGGTAATTTTCTGAAACTGTGATTCGATCTGTTGAAATTTCTGTGGACTGCGGTTATGCAGCTGACGATTTTTCTAATATAATACGATTTTTCTGAATTTGATGATTTGAAGTGTTTGAATGATATCAGAAGGGAGTTATAGGGGGCCAAAATCCTTTGAGATTCTGTCTGTGTCAGGGAATCTGAAAAAAATAAAGTCTGATCTAAAAATTATGTATATCTGATATGTTATGGTGCTGTAAGCACAAAGGGAGTTATAAGGGGTCATAATCCTTTGAGTTTTGTCTGTGTCAGGGAAGGGAAGCATAAGGGGCCAGAATCCTTTGAGATTCTGTCTGTGTCAGGGAAGGGAGGCATAAGGGGCAAGAATCCTCTAAGATTCTGTATGGGTCAGGGAAATTTGTGATGAAATGTGATTTGAATGTTTTCTGAAATTTGTTCTGAACTTTGATTGAATTCTGATTTGAATAATTCTGTGACATAAATTTGATTCAGTTCTTCTGTCTCTGTTACTTCATTTGTTCTGAACGAATATAGGTATTATGTTTGATTTTTATTCTGTATGAATCTTTGACCTCTGGCTAATATTCTGATTTTTGTACGATTATTTGAATTCTATACGACAAATATTTTTAACGCCTTCATGCGTATTTTGATATGAGAGTTTTTGAAGATTTTGATTGGCTAGTGTAGTCTTGCTGAGCTGTTAGCTCATCCTTGTTATTTGCGTGATTTTCAGGTTCTGCGAAAGAGAATGAGGTGTTAGACTAGCCGTTCTGTATCTGATCTGAGATTATGTATTTTTATACTTTTGATTTTTGTACGGTCATGACTATTCCGTTCTTCTGTTCTGTTCTTTTGGTTTATAGCCATGGACTATAATGTATATGATTATTTTGAGGATTGAGAAGAAGAAAATGTTGGATGAATTTTTGTATATTGGAAGTTTAATAGTAGCTCCGTGTTTTCTGTATGTCTGATTATTGGAAGAAAGTCTGAAACCAAATTCTAAAGCTCGATCCTGGATTCATCCGTTGCGACTCTACGCGATGGGATTCGTTCCGGTCGGGTTGGGTCGTGATATATCATTCATAAGATACACCAAGATTTTTACATGAAAAACCCTGAAAAGAAGAAAAACCATGGGCCTGGCCCAGTTTGAATGAATCCACTATTATTTGCAGTCGAGTATGAATGAGGCCCTTCCTTTGGGGAAGGTCTTAACTTGATGTAACAAATATATATTATATAGAGTGTGTTACATAATATGACTTAAAATAATCATAATAGATACATATGTTTGTTTGGTAGAACCATAATCGACGGGCAGCGGAGGTCGGAAAGACCGCAGTCTGGTGACGGTGATCGGAGAGACCTAGTCGGTGGGCGATAGTGTTTAGAAAAGACCGTTGTCTGACAACAAATGTCGGAAGGACCGTAGTAGACATGCAACAATAGTCAGAAAGACTATTGTCTGGTGAAGGAGATCGAAAGGATCGTAGTCGGCTGGCGACGGAGGTCGGAAGTTCGATATTGGGTAGAAGTCTGACAAAAGTCCGACGACGAGCAGAAGTCTAACGACAGGTAGAAGTCTGGCGTTGGGTATAAATCCGATGATGGGAAGAAATATTGCTGATGTTGGCGGTCAAGCGGAAGTCTGGTGTTAGTCGGCGGTTAGACAGAAATCTGGCGATGAGCGGAAGTCGGGCAGAACTTTGACGTTAGTCGATGATCAGGCAAAAATCCGTCGACGGGCGAAAATCGGGTAGAACTCCGACAACAGTAGATTGCTGTGCATAACTTCGACATCAGTTGGTGTTCGGGCAGAACTCTGGCGTCGGTAGGCTACGGGGTGGAAGGCTGGAAGTGGCCGAGGAAGAGTCTAGTGGTAAGATAGCTCTCTTCTTTTTCTTCCTTTTCTTCTTACTTCCCTCCCTTTCGGGTTCTATTTATAATTTTATGAGAGTAACATGTCCATTAAATAAGAGTAAAATCAAATGTAAATTGGGAGTGGTTTGAATGAACGGCCGATGTGAATTTCCTCGATCATGGATCATTTATTTAACATTTGAGTGACTTAATAATGTCAGAATTCAACAATTTTGGGCTTGTTGGATTCGTCTCGTCAAGCCGCTCGATTCTATTATAAGCATGTTGTGGTTGGAAATTGTTTGGTAATCCAAATTGTGAATTAAACCATCCAAATGCACTTCAGGTCTTTGATTTGGACTCATTTGAGCTCGGATTGAGTCGAATTAAGTGTCGTTGGGTCTGTATTTCTGAGATGTTCAGTTCGATTATAAGTTTACTGAAATCGGAGTTCAGATTGTTTCTGATTTAATTTTTGAAATTTTCAACTTGATTTTATCTCAAGATTCGTGCCCGATCGAGCATAATTTTTTTATTATATATCAATTCGGTTCTCGTATTACTTCTTCGATTCCAACGAAACTATGCGAGTCTTTGTTGCAGTTGAAGGCTCTTCTACCACCATCAAAGTTTTCGAGAGAATTCTTCGCAATCTTCACAACAGTGTTTTTCTCCTGGCTCGTAGGTCCCTGTGAGGTAATTCAAATTTGCATTTGATTGATAGGTATCTTAAAATTTATTGTTAAGATCTTGAATCGCATTTATATTTTAGTTTACTCATCATTCTCATTCATAAATTCCATTCCAAGAAAAAAAAATTAAGAACTTGCGATTTGCAATGAACTTCGATATAACTACTCAGAAGAGGCGCTGTTGCTACTGTGCTAACAGCAGCACCGAAGTAATTAAGGATGATTCAGCCAACACTAACAGTTTCTGCAACAAAATAACGTGAATTAATCTGGCCACTGGGAACTAATTGAGATATTTTGTAATGTTGCTAAATTAGGTCAGGGAGTCGGATTTCCAAGGGAAGAGGGAGAAGAATGTGGTCTACATTCCTAAATGCAGGTGCCATCAAATTTCTTAGAACGCGATTTCATATTCCAACTCGCTATCGGCTAAGATCACTATTTGCTTTTCATTTCTCTTTCATATTTATATTTTGTAAATCCGAATGAGGGTTTCTTCTATGTAAAGAAAATCTGAGTTGCTTCCCCCTAAAACCTCTTCAAAACCTGATTTTTTTTTAAGTTCAAGAAGGGGAAAAATCTGACCATGTGGTTAAATGGGAATTGGTGCTGCTTTGATACGAGCATAAAAATATGAGATTCATCAAAATTTTGAAATAGTTAAGAAGTATGTATAATATTTTAGATGGATTTTTAACTCAAACAATAAAAAGAAGAAACCCTTATTTTATGTTCTCTCACTTGGATATTCTACTCTATTAGGTTTTTGGATGCCACAAATTGTGTAGGAATGTGCACTAATCTCTGCAAGTTGCCTTCTCAAAAGTTCATCAACACCTCACTTGGGATGCCCACCAACATGGTTCCTAGTAAGTTCTCATTTTTATTAATGAAAAATGAAATTGTTTGAATCCAAAAATCAGAACATTTGCATGTGTAGCACTTCAGTCTGTCTGATTTCAACAACATAGCATTTTTCTTTTACTTTATGCAGTTTACCTACCAAATATTTTTACTATGAAACCTCACCCAATGAAATCCAATCAATCAAAACAACCAAGGCCTTAAAGCTGACAAGCTATATAACTTATTGAAATATGTTGCAATTTTTCAGTAAAGAAGTGAAGCACATTCAGTATCATAAGAAAAATATGCTAAATATCCAATGACATTCGCATAACCACCTGCCATTGTTTTAAGCAATTAATATGAAATGGCGGTGGAAATAAAATGTTCCCAAATTAGCACAATGCACTTTCTGTAATTTTTCTAGATTATGATATCGTTTGGGACGGCTTTCTTTTTGCTTCTTAAAGTAGTTTTTTAGTAGAAAATTAAAATTTTTGTACTAAAAAACTACTTTAAGAAGCAGAAAAAAAGCCGTCCCAAACAAAGCCTATGTAAGAAAGACTCTAAATATTAACGTGCATTACAGATGGAACTTGAGGTGAAGTTCTAGTTGGTAGGAGTTAAAAGACCAAAACTTCAGATTACATTATGTGTTCTGCAAAACCCAAAAAATAATGTTTGCAAATTTAAATATTACTATGAATTCTTTATTTTTAACCTTTGTATGTATCGAAGCAAGCCATGTAGCTAATTATTTATTGCTTGCACTTATTAATAGATCAGAGACTCTGAAGGTCAATGGTTATGAACGGAGTTATGTGGGGGTTTAGAGTTCCTTGATTAATTCAGTCAAATGAATGTCCCCATGGCTACCCATCATTTCACAATGATTGCTTAGATATGAGGTTAACTTTCACTCGTAACAAGCAATTCCAGCTTATGGAGTAATATAATGCCAAATATTTTACCCAAGAAATTTTTTTTAACAACAAAACAAGTATGCATTCAATACAAAAAATAGAATTAAGACAAGGACAGATCTGCTGGAAAGAGGAGATCAAATTGATATTATTCGTGGTGCAAATTGCCTCAAATGAAATTTCGGGCACTTTTTCGCTCTTATGATATGCATTTTGCAGTCTATTTGGTTTTCGCAATGGTTAAAATCATGCGAAAGTATTTATGTATCTTCTGTTATTGAACTCCAAAAAGTTGATGAAAGTTGATAGAGAAAATGCAGTTTCTATGCTTTTCTAAAACCGGACTATGGATCGTTCCTGAATTTTAAGTGTCTTCATTAATGGCATCAATTGTGGGTTTATAGGCTTAGGTACACCTTTACATGGCAAGCATTGGAATGCACACTTTCATGAACAATTTTAGAATGGCGAGTTGCGCCCCTTCATGACAACCATTTGAATAAGCTATTACATGAACTGATGTCCTTAATTTTTTTCCTTCTCCTTTACCCTTTCAACCAAACAAAATAAATAAAAAAATAATAAATAGATATTTACATTACTACATAGCTATGCTATACTGCTTGTCTACATTAAATACTCAAAAACTTGGAAAGAGAACAATTATATAGACCAAACTATTGGAAGAACATGCTGGCTGATAGATTCATTGGCAAGGCATGCGGTTTTATTACAACTGCAGGCCAAATTTTTGCTGAATTTTTTGATTAGTGACTTCGACCAGAAAACATTTCTCTTACCGTTAATGTAAACTGAAATTTTGATGTTTTACATGCTTTATTAAGGACTAGAGTGGAATACATTGCTTACTATCTGTTTAAATGCTTCAAAATCAGATTTTGAAGACAAAAGCTGTGAGATTATCTTTGGGCAGCATCCACTTGCAGATGATCCAGCACTAAAGCATCCCTGCAACGGGACATCATGTAATGATTACAACATTAGATTAGTACTTCAAAATTTGAAATAAGTAGTGGCAACAAAACTTAGGCTTCATTTGGGACGACTTTTTTATTGCTTCTTAAAACATAGTTTTAGCACAAAAATTTCATTTTTTACTAAAGTTCTGTTTTAAAAAGCAATAACAAAGTCAGGCTTCATTTGGGACGGCTTTCTTACCGCAATAAAAAAGTCGTCCCAAACGAAGCCTTAGTCTAGGAGGATTTCACATCATTTTAGTAAGCCTTTCTTTATGTTTCTTTGTTTCATATTCATCCTAATATTTTTGCAGGCATAGCAAAGCAAAAACATAGAGTGGGCTATTCCAGCTGATGCCTTCTTTCTGGGTGACGATATTTGCCACAAATTTTATAACTTCTCTTACAGAGTTCAAAATATATTTTCAAACATGTAATCCATACTAATTTTGTTTAAGTGGACTTATACAAGAAAAAACAGTACAGGGAAGCAGCTTATAAAACAAGGATTCCACTAAATGTTAGAAATTCTTTCTCCAAAAACAAAAAGGTGCCTCCCCTTTCTTCTTTCCCTGCTTATACTTCTATGTATTTCCTTCTATTACAATATTAGGTCCCACATACTAAAAGTTATAGCATACTTAAGTAACTGAAAAAGGACAAAAGCTAGAGAATAAGAGTAATAGAGAAACTAAAGATAATGAGCATAACATAAGGTAGATAGTGGCGGTTGAAGATTCCTTCTTCCTTATGATGCACCGCATCATTAAGTGTCCAAGTTCCAAATGGAGAATAAGGTTTCGTTTGGGACGGCTTTCTTACTACTTTTTAAAGCCGGCTTTTCTAGTTAAAAAATTTAAAATTTTGTACTAGAAAGCTTCTTTAAGAAGCACGAAGAAAGCCATCCCAAACGAAGCCTAAGACTTCGTTTGGGATGGTTTTCTTATTACTTCTTAAAGTAAAGTTTTACTGCAAAAATTAAAAATTTTGTACTAGAAAGTACTTTAAGAACAAACAAGAAAGCATTCCCAAACGAAGTCTAAGTCTTCTATAGGATTATTTGCTTACATCATTTATATTGCTAGCTTAAGGCTTTCAAGCATTCTATTACCATTTCTTTCTCCCTGTATTCCCTTGGGGGAACATTAAGGTTCTCATTGCTCTACTTAAAAGTGGGCTTATACAATAAATCACTGCTTCTCCCACCAACTTATGGTTTATGTATTTTAAAAATATGCAGCCAATATTATGATGAAGCTAGAAATATGAGACGGGAGTTTAACGGGTCCGTACATAGTATTTATTGCTTCTCACATCAACTCTGGTTAGCCTTAGTATCAGTTAAAAAAAAAGTATATTCAAATTACCTTGTTATTTATTATAATTACAAATGTGATTAATATATTTGGTATTTTATATAAACTTTGTGATCAGCACAGAGATAAATAAAAGAGAAAATGTTAAGTGCATTACAAAAATGGTGAACTTGTTGTAGAACAATATTTAAATAATAATAAAAAAAAAACTCTTAAACGTGCTAGTAAAATACATTGGGTTCACATAATACTCTCCTAAGTAATTGATGTTCTAGAAATCATTTTGGAGGATGGTATAAGATCTGAACAAAGAGTTGATGCATTTCCGTTATTAAAAAAATTGCTAACTTTTAAGTCCAAGTTATTCATTTAAAACATTTAGTATAAACAAATTAATTAGAATGATACACATTTACCATAATGATTTTTAGTATTGTAGATTTGATGATTCTTGATAATATGTTGAAAATTTATATTATGAATATGCAACATGATGCATAATTTTTGTCCTTAAAAGACATTTGAAAGCCTTATTAAGAAAATGATTCAGACTATGAAGGATTCTTTTTTATATCCCCTTATTTTCAGGCAATTGAAAGCAGCATCAATGTTATCTATTACAATAACAAGAGTTCAATTAATTGCTCTCGTTACATGAAAAGAGGTTGAGCGATCTAACATATGGACTTTGGACATCGAAGGTTGGCTAACATTAGATGTATGTTGTTGGTGGATGTCGAAGTTAGCAAATGGCAGACTTTAGGAGGCTGCAAGATTGGTCATCTTCCTTACAAGAAGATTGGTGGACAAATTTGAAAAACAAGCATTGAATGTTGGCAATTGGTAGCGTGAAGCAATATTACAAAAGCTCCAAATATGAACAACAATAAGGACCTGTTTTGAAATTTATCAAAACTATTTCTAAAGATTATATTGAGGTTCTGATTTGACAAAGGGATCATTTGGTTTGCTACATTAGGAGTGTAACGTATTTCACATACAGAAATTTTTGAAAATGTTGATGTTTGATTTGAAGTAAAAAAGAATACAAGTAAAATTTGAAGTAAAAACAATTCACCTTCTAATTCAAATCCAGTGTATTTGAAATTCCTCAATTTTGAGCGATTTTCAAATACATTGGAAACTCATCTTTTGGCTGCCACCTTTGCTTCCATCCACTGTCAGCCGCTGACCCTTGTCGGTGGCTGGCGGCAGCTTGCCACCCTAGCCAGCGTCGACCACCCCTATTGTTACCGGCCACCCACTGGCCGCCACAACCAGTGGCCCCCGCTTGCTAGCTGTCGTTGTGGCCACTACATTCACTTAACACTGCATTCACTTAAGTACAAGTCAAATAAAAAAAAGTTAGAACCTCCATTTACTGTACACTCAATCAAATAACTTCAAATTATTTCAAATACACTATAATACTGTATTTATTTTTCAAAAATAAAATTCAAGCCTTCCAAAAAATATTCGCAGGCACCAAAGAAAATCTTTAAAGGCCCATTCGACACATGTTTGAATTTTTAATGAGTAAAACTAAGATTCTTTTAATGGGCTTTTATTGTTCGTGCTTTATCTCTAGCAGGCTTTCTCTATTTCAGTTTTCTATATTTGTTTTTTAAATAATTATTAATAAATATGAATTAAAATTTAATTGTACTAAACATTTTAAATAGTAATAAAATCTACAAATTCTAAAAAATGAATTAAAAAAATCATTTTTATTACACCAAATTTTATAAATAACCTCTCACTTATGAGTTTTTTGATATCATAATTTTGCTTTACACAATTTTTTTGTTGAAAAAAATATCATAACCTATTATGTAATCAACACATTTTGATCGGATATCGAGATTTTAATTCACAGTTTTATGACTGTTATTTCTTTGAAATGGATAAAATTGTTCTGATTGTTACAAAAAATAACTAAGACGGTGTAGTTCATGGCTACAACCTTCTTCAAGAAAGGAGCTCGTCATTGGGGAGTATGCAGGACTTCAAAGTACTTTGCCTTGTTTGTCATTTTTTGTGTGAAATAAGGGTGCCAAAAATATTCCTTATAGCATAGCAATGTCTCTTTGTTACAAATCTTCATAGATATCAAGAATCATAATCTCATGTTAGTCATATGATTGTTAGATGCATGTCACATAGCACATGTGATGTAGGTAATCATTTCAAAAATATCATTCCTATCATCTCTTACTCCTATAGTTGTTCTACATATAATATATTAATAGAACTTTCTAAAAAGTTCTAGAAAACATGTACAAAAGGTATACTATTCCTAAGGCATAGTCTAATTAAGATGCACCGCATCAACATGATTATTCTCCAGCCTATTTGGTGGACCAATACACATAGCCAACTTTAACTAGCCCGATACCTATAAATACTCATTCCTTTTGATAGGACATGACATGCTAAGAGATTAAACTCAAAGCCCATAAAATGTTAGATTATAGCCTCACATAGAGAGAGAGAGAGAGAGAGTAAAAAATCAAATATATTATTACTATTTTCTTTAGTTAGTTTCTCACATTCTTTGCAAAGGTAGATCATCATATCAATCTGCATAAATAATACATGTCATCTCTTCTTCATCCCCTTACATGTGCATTTCTCCATTTTAACGATCAAATTTTGCGGCCATCAAAAAATAAATATGCCTTAATTCTTAATCTTCAAGTTTTCTAATGGGAGTGTGGTAGTGATTGACAATGACAATTTTTTTAATTGATGAATGAAAGGTGTGGCCTTGAAGCTCGCAACAACATGAGTTAAATGAAGTCGACAAACAAAAGATTCAATGACACCACTCATCGCACTCCATAGAGAGGACTCATGCGCATATGAATTGTAGGTCCTCATTTTACAAATTTTTTGGCTATTTTATCGCCAAAAACAAACTTGATTGCACATGACTTAGACTTCAGTCGTTTGGAATGCAATCGTCTAAAACATTGTGTCACTTTGATCTTTCAAACAATTAGAAATAATTTTTTTGGCTATATTTAGACTAGATTTTTTGAGGTAATTTAAGCTAAGACACCGATTTATGATTAAAATCATCATAAATTTTTCCTTAATCAAAATCAAGATAACTTCTAAAACAACTTTTAAAGATTTTGAATTAATCTTAATTCTAAAACAACTTTTAAAGATTTTGAATTAATCTTAACCATCTTGTTACAAAAAAATATGCAAAAAAATTCTAATTGGTAAACTTAATTTGCAAATCATATTATAAATACAACCACATTACTATTATGATCATTAGTAATTATTTTGTACTGCTAATGGGATGTTATGGATTCAATCCCTTCCTCATATTTACTAATATTTTAACTTCCTAAGTTATTGGATGTTTATCAAACTAACTCAAAATTAAATCAAATTGAATTGAATTTGAGTTAGAAATAGAGAGGAGCAAAGCTTCAATTTTGATTTTTCAAAACCATAAATAAGAGGAAGAAAGATCTTCTCCATGCTTCTTTCATGAAATATCACAATTATTTACTAAGAAGTTCAAACTTTTTCTTGAAAAAGCAGTGTCTTTATTTTTGTCCTTTTCAATGACAATTGGTCTGAAGCTCTGCTACAAGATCCATAAGCCAATTAATAGAATTTCAGAGCATTCACAAGCTACACTTGAATCTGCCCAGAATTCATGCTTTGTTGTTTCTTCCACATGGGTGAACTCAACATTTTTCTGTTACATCACATGGAAGCATGGAATCAGTCAAAACTATTGCGTAAATTTTGCTAAAGTTTTTGAGGAGTCATAGCTAGTAATTAAGGTAATCATATTAGTGCGATATTGATTTAACTTGATAAAATAATTATGAAAACACAACAAGTTTTCACTATAATATAACTTTTACATATTGGGCTTTGTTTAAATAGAGTTCTTACTAGTTCTAAAAGCAGCTTCTAGTACAACAACAACAACATCAAGCCTTTGTCCCACTACGTAGGGTGTAGGCCACCTACATGAATTCTTTTTCTCCATTTTGTCCTGTTAAAAGTCAAATTATCATTTAAATATAATAAAGAAAGAACATTTTTTATATTTTCTAACAAAGTCTTTTTAGGTCTACCTCTACCTTTCTTAATATAAGCCACATATAATACCTCTACTTTCCTAATCGGGTCATCGGAAGGCCGTCGTTTTATGTAGACATCGGTGTTTGAAGTACGGCTATGAAGCAAATGAG